AGGTCAAAGGGTCAGATTGCGTGCATATAATTATAGATAGTTAAACAAAAAGTATTTGAACTTTTGACGGTTGTTCAACATCTATGCACGGTTACTAAACTAGTAACCGTGATCTATGAAAACCAGAAAATTTTTAGTAGTCCGAATTGTTGCACGGTCGAAAATAAAACGGAAATTGACCGGTCAAAAGCGGAAGTGGTCAAGAGGTTTGGGGGAAATGAGTACAGTACTTCTTTGTTTGATGAAGCGATGCTGATGCCACATTGTCGCCATAATGAGGCCACAATGAAGCGAAGCGATAATCGCCTAACTTTTTAATGTCGCGACATTGAAGCGATGCTGAAGCCATAACAATGCCATAATGATGCGATGCTGAAGCGAAGGTGAAGCTGAAGTGAAGCCAAAGCTTCCGCGAGAACTGTACTGTACTTGTTGCGTCTTCATAGTGAGAAGCATACTGGGACTGAGTGCCAGCGGGTCATTGGCATCTGAAGATATGGTGGTTATGGGTCGAGCGTTGATTATGGCGCAAACTTCAGCCATTAGTGTGGAGAGCAAATCATGCGTGAACTGCGGTTTGCCAAGTTGTACGTACATAGAGTTAAGGACTTGTCTGACGATACCAATCTGTCTCTCCCATATGCCCCCAAAATGTGAGGCATGAGGTGGATTGAACACCCATTCACATTGGCGTTCTGTTAGAAACCTTTGCACTTGATGCTGGTCAAGTTCTTCGAGTGCTGCTTTTAGTTCGTTCTTCGCTCCTATGAAGTTGGTGCCCTGGTCACATCTCAGTTTCTTAACAGGGCCACGAATGGCTATGAAGCGACGCAGTGCGTTGATGAAGGCGGAGGTATCCATTGAGTTGATGATCTCAATGTGTATGGCTATTGTATATAGACATACAAAGATCATGGCCCATCGCTTGGCTTCTGATGAACCACCTCTCGTTCTCCTGTTCACTACACTCCAGGGACCGAAGACATCCATCCCCACATTTGTGAATGGTGGGGTGTTTTCAGCTCTGTCTGCAGGAAGGTCTGCCATCACTTGGATTAGACGTTTCGCTCTCAGCTTTCTGCAGGTTGTACATTGATATAGGATGGTTCTTACTAAGTCATGTAGGCTAAGAATCCAGAAACCTTTTGCTCTGATAGCTGCATGTGTGAGTTGACGACCTTGATGTTCAGTCTCTTGGTGA